AGCCGTTTCCTGATGATTCGTAGACGGTGAATGCTACGCTTCTTAGAAAAAAAAACAAAAAAAAAAAAAAAAAAAACAAAAACAAAAAAAAAAAAAAAAAAAATAAAAAAAAAAATAAAAATTAAAAAAAGTGGGGGCAAGACTGGCGCGAGTTTTGTACATATGAAACTATCCTGCTGCCTAGTGCAGCTAGAGCTAGCACTTATGGTCATGGCGGGATGTTTGTAATTGCGATTTTATGTATGGATTCTATTGACGAACGAATAGCAGTTATATTATGTAGTACAATCAATTTATTTAAGAGTTATATATTCTGCATACATTTCGGTAGCCGAGGATAACTATTGATCGAGGAAATGTGTGACTTAGTCAGCGCTGTGACACCACAGCTGGGTGAAATCGGCACCATTTCATGTCTGCTGCTCTGACAGACATTTCCCTTAGAAAAACCAGGAATACACCGTAGAGCCAAAGATTGTACAATAATTCCCTATGACTCGCACTAATAAAATAGCCGTTAGTATTATTTTAAGAGGCCACAACCTGACAGCGCCGTTGTGTGGAATTGGGTGCGCACGTGTCTGCACGCCGCGCGCTCGTGTTTGGATGCAAGGTTGTCATCCGCAACCGCGCCTCCTCCCCCTACCTCCCACACCGTTGTGTGCCTGTGGAGTTCTATCTGCTGTGACCGAGGATGGCGGTGCACAGACGTAAGATCATAATAGTTTCTATTCGTCTTGGTTCAACCGATGGCACTCCTCAAAAACAACACTATTCCAGCAGTCACTCCTCTTTTCCTCGTGCACTATAGCGATTGTGAAACCCTCCAATAAGTAAGACTACGACGTCGCCCTAACGCGCGTGCGCGTATATCGCTGCGTCGGCATGCTGCGTTTTCTCATGGTTACTTAATAGGTAATTGGATGGTAATTCATCGGAGAACATGCAAATATTTCGTCATTGCTGCAAATTGTGCGCAGATTATACATGCTTGCCTGACCAGTTACAGGTCTGATAAACACGCATAATCTGGAATATTTCGCAGTTTCCTTAACAGCTTTTCGTTTTCAATTCTCTGTCGGCTATATAGGAGCCACATGTCGCGTCGAATATGTTGAACGTTGCGGCTATTGAACGGATATTTTAACGCGAAATTCAAAAGGACGTTGATATTAATGCGGACCGCGTATTGTTGCGCTCAGAAAGCCAATGTACGCATATCCCGCCTGCGATTACTCGGTTAATTACGCCGCCATGTGTATATGCGTAGAATAGCTGGACGAACATTTACTAGGCACGTTACGGGGAGAGCTGGTGTAGTAGTGAGATGAGAGTGAAATCATGTGAATTCATATAGCACGTGGCATTCCTAAGGAGAATTTAAACATGAAGCGACTTGAGATAAAATCATGCTATATATGTATATCTACCTCCTGCAGCTTTTCTCTGCTTGTGTGACAACTTCATTAATTTTAGCTGTCGAGCATTTGTGTGTAGTTTACATCACGACGGGAAACAGCATGTGCTGCACGTATTCATTGGTAAATTTTTTCCGTGTAATGAATAAGTACTGTTTTTATCACTTCACACGAACGGTACAATTGGAATCGTTGCGCTATTCAGTACTTTGTACTTCAGCAGCGTCTCACTCAAGTTCTGTGTTAAGGACCACATAGCTATTTAAGTAATGCAGATCGCGTGTCCAAAAGATGGCGCCAGGAGGCGTAAGCTCACTATTACATAGTGATAATGTAGGATAGTGATCTTCTAAAATCTAAATGTTTATAGCGTTGCAGAATGATTGCCGTTTTGACATTCAGACTAGAATATAATGAGAGGTAAAGATCTTAAGAGTTCGAACGACAATATTCTATATGAAGACGCGTAAAGACAAACTCGACTTGAATAACATCACTACGTGATACATTCACACTGTGTATGCCGTATTTAAAAAACATCTTTACGCTTCTGGTTCATTCTTATATAAATGTCTGTTTCCGCTATAATATTATTCAACTTGAATTTAATAAAATCGGTAGTAATCGTTTCGTGTCTTATAATGTTCTGGTCTTCGATAGCAGTTGTTATGAAAGTTAAGTTATTTATTTTTTCTCATTTATTGCTATTGTACAGTCTGATCATAATGCTGTATATAAACCTATATACATTAATAAAACTGTATCAATATCATTTCGTTATGTTCACTTACTGTGATTTCTGCAATTTTTTCAGTAAATTTATTATACTGCCATGGTTATTTGAAAATTGGACCACGGTGAGCGTGACTGCGAATTCCAAGATGGGCCGTATGCGGACTACCGCTGCTTGCTTGGGAAAATTCCGACATTAACCGCAATACTTGATGTACAAAAATTTACATTTACCCAAAGCAATCAGAATTACACAGCTTGAACAACCTTCAATGCAGGGTTAAAAACTTTGTTAGGTAACTAAAAAAATCACGAGGGAAGTGCTTTTTGTGGTTAGAAAATCCTATGTAGAGTAAGTCTAAGATTAAAGTATATTGATAATATTCTGTTATTTATGACATTTATTTTTGATTTGAGGTATGTTCAAATTTATTATGAATATTTGTGTATTCTAATAGATCTACATTGCTAATCAATTCTCCCCAAATCAGCTCTTGATAGACTAAACATGCTACAAAATTATGATATACCATAATAAAAGTTATTCCCACAAAAAACTATAAACAGGCATGAGCAGCTACTAGAATTAGAGAACAACTAAAAGTGCCTCAATTAAAACCTAATTAAATACCACACACTTATATTTATATACACATAACCCCACCAGCTTAACAAAACCACTCCGAAAATAACGCCAGACTATACCTAACAAATTTACACTAAATTCAAGGACACTTAAAATCAAATAACAACAAATAATATGTATGACCACACCTAACTTACTAATGAGGCAATAAACCAATGGAATAGACTACCAATAGACACAAAAGAGCCCTTCACTTAGCATATTTAAGAAAGCTGTTAAAAAATGCAATTTTAACAACATATACCTAGCAGATAGGAAAACAATAAATCTATTATGATATATTCTAAATGAATATAATTATGTATATAATTATATATATATATATATAATGTGTGTGGTGTGTGTGTGCGTGCGTGCGTGGCGTGCGTGCGTGCGTGCGTGCATGCTGTGCGTGCGGCGTGCGTGCGTGCTGCGTGCGTCCATACGTCCGTGCGCTGCGGGCGGGCGCGCGTGCGTGAGTGCGTGCGTGCGTGCGTGCGTGTGTGTGAATGTGTAATATTGGTGTAGGTTTATACGAGAGTGAGTGCGTGCGTGTCAGGACGTATTAGTGTTGAAACGATGTTAAACGGCCTAAATCCGCGCCTGCTTTCCCCTAGAATTTTAGAATATATTATAGTAAATGCATAAATAAGAGCACATACACTACAAAGTTCTATAATTATTCATTCTACTTTGTCACAAAACAACATTGAATTTCAAAATCTTCATTTTTGGACGCTGACATGACACCGCTGCACCCTGCAAAAGTTGCGCATTGCCATTTATTTTGCACGTTACAGTCCGAGGGCTAATCACAAAAGTGCAATTATATTTTACCTAAATGCTATTAACAAAACGATATTATTTTATGGCAAATTCGTCCATATTATAACTGAAAGTAAGGTGTCGTTTATACGATGTTGCAATCCTTCTGCTCTTAAATTTAAAAAAAATCCCCCGTGCTACAGTATGGGTAAATTCGGCATGACGGGTCGTTTCGTAATAATGACAGTTGTGATGGTATTTCCCCATCAAATTACTTTCCTGAATTGTGTTTTCTAGTTTAAGTGTACTATTACAGCAAAATGACATTCTCTTTCCAGATAATTTGCGTGCCACACAAGCTAGTATAAGGAGATTTGGAAAATTGATGATATTGCCCTCAAACTCCTTTACCTTCCTGTCAATCAATCTCGCGCCTCAGTCGCCGCCTCTACCACCCCTTCCTCTTCCTCCGCTCCTCCCCACTTCTTCTTGTTCTCTTCTTTTTTCTTCTTTTTTCTATCTTGCGTTCTTTCCTTCTTCCTCTTCACATTCTTCTTTTCTTTCTTCTTCTTCTTCTTCTTCTTCTTCTTCTTCTTCTTCTTCTTCTTCTTCTTCTTCTTCTTCTTCTTCTTCTACAGCAGCAACAACACAACAACACAAACTACTTACTACATACTACTACTACTACTACTACTACTACTACTACTACTACTACTACTACTACTACTACTACTACCTACTACTACTTACTACTACATACATACTTACTACTACTACTACTAATAATAATAATAATAATATAATAATAATAATAATAATAATAATAATAATCTGGAGATCTGGAGATTGAATTAGGAGTGTGTGGAATACAAAGACGAGAATTGTACCAGTGGTGGTTGGAGCCCTTGGCTCTCTAAAGAATGGTTTTGAGAGAACCTTAAGAACTCCCTGGCCAACACACTGCCCAAGAAGTGCAGAAAATCGCACTACTGGGAACAGCACACATCCTGCGAAAAATTCTGGATGAATCCCTATGTCCAGGTTGGGACACGGTCAACCAGAAGCCACCGGCTAATGCCGTGATCCACTTGGAAATAATAATAAAATAATAATAATCATAATCATAATCATAATCATAATCATAATCATAATCAATTAATATCAGGAGTAAGATAATATAGAATCTATATTATCTTACTCCTGATTATATTATAATTATAATTATAATAATTATTATTATTATTGGGACACGTCAACCAGAAGCCACCGGCTAATGCCGTGATCCACTTTGGAAACAATAATAATAATAATAATAATAATAATAATAATAATAATAATAATAATAATAATAATAATAATAATAATAATAATAATAATAATAATATCTGCACTGGTCAATCTGCAGTGAACTTGGTGAGCAAGTACCTGACAAGTGGTATGAACATACTCCGAGACCAGTTACAACAATCGGAGAACTACCATAATGTGGGATTATGGCGGTGCAGACAGATCGCACGATACCTGCAAACCGCCCTGATATAGTGCTCCACAACAGGAGAGAAAAAACTATGCCTGTTGATTGACGTAGCCGTACCAGATGACTCTAAGTCTCTAACATTATGGTGAAGGAAAGGACAAACTCACCAAGTACAAAGATCTGGAGATTGAAATTAGGAGGATGTGGAATACAATGACGAGAATTGTACCAGTGGTGGTTGGAGCTCTTGGCTCTTACTCTTACTCTTGGCTCTTATCTCTAAAGAATGGTTTTGAGGAGAACCTTAAGGAACTCCCTGGCCAACCACTGCCAAGAAGTGCAGAAAATCGCACTACTGGGAACAGCACACATCCTGCGAAAAATTCTGGATTGAATCCCTATGCCCCAGGTTGGGACACGGTCAACCCAGAAGCCACCGGCTAATGCCGTGATCCACTTTGGAAATAATAATAATAATAAATAATAATAATAATAATAATAATAATCTACCGGCTAATGCCGTGATCCACTTTGGAAATAATAATAATACTAGTCTACTACTACGTTTTCAATATTGTGACCGCCTTAATTCACATTAATTAAGCTCCTGTCAGTTAGATTGAGGGTAGACTTAATCATTGCCAATATTTTACGTCCGTATTGATTTTTACATCCCTAGATGAGCCGGCTGCGAAATTTTTTTTCCCACTTGAGTTCCGGACCACAGCCAATCAGCGCACTCCATTCACTCGACTTCCTCGAAGCAACAATGTAAAATGAATACCAACGGTTATCTATCTATTTCTATGATACCAACTATGCCTAACCCTAACCCTAACCATAACAGTATCCGAACCCTAACACTAACTCTAATCCAACCATATATTACAAAACACTATCTATGGTAGGTCCGGAACTCAAGTGGGGAAACAAATTTCGCCTAAATTTCGCCTCGCGTGGTGACCCGAGCCACGATATAGGTTCAAATCACAAATGTAGAGGGTAAGATCGAGTTTCAGCTAAACACCTTGAATAGTCCACTACCCGCTTTCTACGCGAATGATAAACGTGTTACAGCCACCAAACCAACCTAATTTTTTCTTTATCCCTAGAGTATAGATCTACAAATATTGGTTTTAAATCCATCAAATCTGCAGGAGCAAAACTTTGGAATTCCATTAATACAATTACTAAATTACGTACGCACCATTAAAAAGTTCAGCTATGCGTACAAGGCACACATGATTCAACAGTACACTCATTCATGACTAACTACATGCACGGTGCACCTAGTCAATTTTGATTCATGTTGTTTATTCTAGATATTTTGCTTGTAGGCCCTATCTGTTGTTCTGTACTTTGGTTTGATTGGTTTTTTATACATTCAATCATTACATGAATTGTAATATAGGCTATTTAAGTTATTCTTGATTATCATGTAAATATTCCATTACTGTACTGTCTGTACATACTGCTTACTGTACTCTTGAAGATTGAAGATTGAAAACAGTTTATTTGTGCATAAGACATACATAAATACAGAGTACATCGTTATAAAAGAAATAATTACATGTAGAAGTACAATTTTAATCAGTTTAAGCACGGGAGTGGCGAAGGACACTTAAGTCATCTATAGTCTGCCACCCCCAAGAGTAGATTAAACGTAAAGCAGCCGCTGAATAACATAACGGTAATGAAGAAGCAGTAAAGCAAACAGTTTATAAATCAAAGGAGAAAAAGTGTAGGAAACAAATATGTAATGAACAAAATATACAGTGAATATAGAATGCGCAAGAAGATACTGTACACTTTAAGGATTATGCAAGATCATCAAGTTAAAACATCAACAACTCAACATAAATTGATCAAATTAATAACAACAAAACTAGAGATGGAAGGATGGACGGACAGAAGAGTGGGCGGACAGACGGCCAGACGGCCAGAAGAACGGACAGACAGACAGAGAGATAGATATAGATAGATAGAAAAGTGAGTGCAAGCATGTAAAATAAATCGATATTGATGCGGACGAAATACATGTGTAAGTGCATGTAATTATGATCCCTAGCTTGTGTAAATGTGTTTAATGTGCGTAGTACATTTTACTGAAAAAAGTGTATTTTCTCTTTACAGAATTATTCAGAGATGGAGTTAGGGATAATAAGATTAATAGGAATCCTTGTGATAGGTGAGTAGTTTACTTTGGTGTAGCATTACACATGCTCACTCCTTTATTGTGTATAAACTGAAGAACGGGGTTCTTACTTGCACTAACAGTAGAAAAACGCCATCCAAGTATTAATTATTTTTGTAAACCAATACGGCAGGCAGGCAGGCAGTGACGCTAAGCTGCGGTAGCTAGATCGTTCAGCAACATTCGCAGCCGACATTAGCTATTACTTTCGCCAGTTATTTATTATTCACTCGCTGGCTTCACACATCGTTTCCTCCATTGTATCCACTCATAACGTGTTCCTCCCCTGTTCCGCCTTGCAGCAAGTGCAGACGTCGGCTTCGCCATCTGGGGGCGCTACGCGGCGGAGGAGAACGGTCCGCCTGTTGCATATGTCGCGCACCTGACGGGTGCGTTGGCAGGCCTCACGATAGGCCTGCTCGTGCTGAAGAACTTTGAGCAGAAGTTGCACGACCAGATCGTCTGGTGGGCGTCGCTCGGCGTCTACGCGGCGTGCACGGTCTTCGCCGTCCTCTGGAACGTCTTCTACATCTGACATGAGGCCGGACCTCTTAACTGCGAAGTTTGCGTCGGCCTGCATGTGCATCGTGAGTTCGTGCTCGACCTAGCGCGTCGGCACTTCTCCGAGACAGAGGTGCTCGAGCTGTTCTGCGAGATGGACACGTTCGTCGAATGCGCGCAGTACATCACGACTCTGCGGTAGGGATGCGGAGGGGACGCGGCGCCCATCTACGTGGCGGGCGGCGCGCCCGGAGCGCGCTGACGACGTGATGCAAGCCGACAGCGAGACACAATGTGATACTTCCGAGACGGGTGCCACGGTGCCTCATCAAGATTGGCTGAGACCACGACTCGGCACCGGGGCACCCCGCCCGGAACAGCAACGAGGCAAATTTCACACTTAAGAGGTTCGCGATACCCGGAAAAAGAGATATATTATACATACATGATCCACGTCTTTGATCTCTGAGACTTTGTACAGCTTGGTAGAGGCTTCTCTGTTGTAGCGTGACGCGTGTGTGACGAGGCACTTTAGGTGACAGCAATAGTGATCGCGGTAGTAGTCTAGACGTTGCCAGTGCACAGCAATTTGGGCAGACGCTCACTAGGTGGAAGCACTAGGTGCGCATCGTGTCCAATTTTCGATACCTCAAAACTCCAGAACTGTGAAGGCAAGCGATTTTGCGTTTTGTAAGAAGAACAAACGAAGGATTAATTTTAAACTATAGCTTTTATAACGTAGTCGTGTCAAAAATAACGTCAAGCAATCTATGTTTAGTCACTTTCGTAAGCCCACAGCTGACATATCACGTTTTGTACTGTAAAACATTCAATACAGAAGGTTTTCAATGTGCCCCCCACCCACGGTTGGCTGTGCTGATGTTGTAAAGCACTATCTGTCGTTCCTATGGTATTAAAATGGTTTCTATACAACTACAATAGACGTCACTCGATGTGTTGTGTCTATTCAGGAAACACTGTTTTTTGGTATATTTAAATTCTCGTCAGGGTATGTCTGTGTATAGTTTGTGAAATGTACGATGTGTTGTTTTGGTGGATTGCGAATTCATGCCAGATAGTTTAGCGTTATAGCCGTTTCCTGATGATTCGTAGGTGAATGCTACTCTTCTTTTAAGGGGAAGACTGGCGCGAGTTTTGTACATATGAAACTATCCTGCTGCCTAGTGCAGCTAGAGCTAGCACTTATGGTCATGGCGGGATGTTTGTACATATGCGATTTTATGTATGGATTCTATTGACGAACGAATAGCAGTTATATTATGTAGTACAATCAATTTATTTAAGAGTTAATATATTCTGCATACATTTCGGTAGCCGAGGATAACTATTGATCGAGGGAAATGTGTGACTTAGTCAGCGCTGTGACACCACAGTTGGTGAAATCGGCACCATTTCATGTCTGCTGCTCTGACAGACATTTCCCTTAGCAAAACCCAGGAATACACCGTAGAGCCAAAGATTGCACAATAATTCCCTATGACTCGCACTAATAAAATAGCCGTTAGTATTATTTAGAGGCCACAACCTGACAGCGCCGGTTGTGTGGAATTGGGTGCGCACGTGTCTGCACGCGCGCGCTCGTGTTTGGATGCAAGGTTGTCATCCGCAACCGCGCCTCCTCCCCCTACCTCCCACACCGTTGTGTGCCTGTGGAGTTCTATCTGCTGTGACCGAGGATGGCGGTGCACAGACGTAAGATCATAATAGTTTCTATTCGTCTTGGTTCAACCGATGGCACTCCTCAAAAACAACACTATTCCAGCAGTCACTCCTCTTTTCCTCGTGCACTATAGCGATTGTGAAACCCTCGAATAAGTAAGACTACGACGTCGCCGCCTAACGCGCGTGCGCGTATATCGCTGCGTCGGCATGCTGCGTTTTCTCATGGTTACTTTAATAGGTAATTTTGGATGGTAATTCAATCGGAGAAACATGCAAATATTTTCGTCATTGCTGCAAATTGTGCGCAGATTATACATGCTTGCCTGACCAGTTACAGGTCTGATAAACACGCATAATGTGGAATATTTCGCAGTTTCCTTAACAGCTTTTCGTTTTCAATTCTCTGTCGGCTATATAGGAGCCACATGTCGCGTCGAATATGTTGAACGTTGCGGCTAATTGAACGGATATTTAAACGCGAAATTCAAAAGGACGTTGATATTGAATGCGGACCGCGTATTGTTGCGCTCAGAAAGCCAATGTACGCATATCCCCGCCTGCGATTACTCGGTTAATTACGCGCCATGTGTATATGCGTAGAATAGCTGGGACGAACATTTACTAGGCACGTTTACGGGAGGAGCTGGTGTAGTAGTGAGATGAGAGTGAAATCATGTGAATTCATATAGCACGTGGCATTCCTAAGGAGAATTTAAACATGAAGCGACTTGAGATAAAATCATGCTATATATGTATATCTACCTCCTGCAGCTTTTCTCTGCTTGTGTGACAACTTCATTAATTTTAGCTGTCGAGCATTTGTGTGTTAGTGTACATCACGACGGGAAACAGCATGTGCTGCACGTATTCATTGGTAAATTGTTTCCGTGTAATGAATAAGTACTGTTTTTATCACTGCCACACGAACGGTACAATTGGAATCGTTGCGCTATTCAGTACTTTGTACTTCAGCAGCGTCTCACTCAAGTTCTGTGTTAAGGACCACATAGCTATTTAAGTAATGCAGATCGGTGTCCAAAAGATGGCGCCAGGAGCGTAAGCCTCACTATTACATAGTGATAATGTAGGATAGTGATCTTCTAAAATCTAAATGTTTTATAGCGGTTGCAGAATGATTGCCGTTTTGACATTCAGACTAGAATATAATGAGAGGTAAAGATCTTTAAGAGTTCGAACGACAAATATTCTATATGAAGACGCGTAAAGAACAACTCGACTTGAATAACATCACTACGTGATACATTCACACTGTGTATGCCGTATTTAAAAAAACATCTTTTACGCTTCTGGTTCATTCTTATGATAAATGTCTGTTTCCGCTATAATATTATTCAACTTGAATTTAATAAAAATCGGTAGTAATCGTTTCGTGTCTTATAATGTTCTGGTCTTCGATAGCAGTTGTTATGAAAGTTAAGTTATTATTTTTTCTCATTTATTGCTATTGTACAGTCTGATCATAATGCTGTATATAAACACGCTATATACATTAATAAAACTGTATCAATATCATTTCGTTATGTTCACTTACTGTGATTTCTGCAATTTTTTCAGTAAATTTATTATACTGCCATGGTTATTTGAAAATTGGACCACGGTGAGCGTGACTGCGAATTCCAAGATGGGCCGTATGCGGGACTACCGCTGCTTGCTTGGGAAAATTCCGACATTAACCGCAATACTTGATGTACAAAAATTTACATTTACCCAAAGCAATCAGAATTACACAGCTTGAACAACCTTCAATGCAGGGTTAAAAACTTTGTTAGGTAACTAAAAAAATCACGAGGGAAGTGCTTTTTGTGGTTAGAAAATCCTATGTAGAGTAAGTCTAAGATTAAAGGTAATTGATAATATTCTGTTATTTATGACATTTATTTTTGATTTGAGGTATGTTCAAATTTATTATGAATATTTGTGTATTCTAATAGATCTACATTGCTAATCAATCTCCCCCAAATCAGCTCTTGATAGACTAAACATGCTACAAAATTATGATATACGCATAATAAAAAGTTATTCCCACAAAAAACTATAAACAGGCATGAGCAGCTACTAGAATTAGAGAACAACTAAAAGTGCCTCCAATTGAAAACCTAATTAAATACCACACACTTATATTTATATACACATAACCCCACCAGCTTAACAAACCACTCCGAAATAACGCCAGACTATACCTAACAAATATTACACTAAATTCAAGGACACTTAAAATCAAATAACAACAAATAATATGTATGACCACACCTCACTTACTAATGAGGCAATAAACCAATGGAATAGACTACCAATAGACACAAAAAGAGCCCTTCACTTAGCATATTTAAGAAAGCTGTTAAAAAATGCAATTTTAACAACATATACCTAGCAGATAGGAAAACAATAAATCTATTATGATATATTCTAAATGAATATAATTATGTATATAATTATATATATATATATATAATGTGTGTGGTGTGTGTGTCGTGCGTGCGTGCGTGTGCGTGCGTGCGTGCGTGCATGCGTGCGTGCGGCGTGCGTGCGTGCTGCGTGCGTCCATACGTCCGTGCGTGCGGGCGGGCGGGCGTGCGTGAGTGCGTGCGTGCGTGCGTGCGTGTGTGTGAATGTGTATATATTGGTGTAGGTTTATACGAGAGTGAGTGCGTGCGTGTCAGGACGTATTAGTGTTGAAACGATGTTAAACCGGCCTAAATCCGCGCCTGCTTTCCCCTAGAATTTTAGAATATATTATAGTAAATGCATAAATAAGAGCACATACCTACAAAGTTCTATAATTATTCATTCACGTTTGTCACAAAACAACATTGAATTTCAAATCTTCATTTTTGGACGCTGACATGACACCGCTGCCACCCTGCAAAAGTTGCGCATTTGCCATTTATTTTGCACGTTACAGTCCGAGGGCTAATCACAAAAGTGCAATTATATTTTACCTAAATGCTATTTAACAAAACGATATTTATTTTATGGCAAATTCGTCCATATTATAACTGAAAGTAAGTGTCGTTTATACGATGTTGCAATCCTTCTGCTCTTAAATTTAAAAAAAATACCCCCGTGCTACAGTATGGGTAAATTCGGCATGACGGGTCGTTTCGTAATAATGACAGATTGTGATGGGTATTTTCCCCATCAAATTACTTTCCTGAATTGTGTTTTCTAGTTTAAGTGTACTATTACAGCAAAATGACATTTCTCTTTCCAGATAATTTGCGTGCCCACACAAAGCTAGTATAAGGAGATTTGGAAAATTGATGATATGCCCTCAAACTCCTTTACCTTCCTGTCAATCAATCTCGCGCCTCAGTCGCCGCCTCTACCACCCCTTCCTCTTCCTCCGCTCCCTCCCCACTTCTTCTTCTTCTTCTTCTTTTTCTTCTTCTTCTTCTTCTTCTTCTTCTTCTTCTTCTTCTTCTTCTTCTTCTTCTTTCTTCTTCTTCTTCTTCTTCTTCTTCTTCTTCTTCTTCTTCTTCTTCTTCTTCTTCTTCTTCTTCTTCTTCTACAGCAGCAACAACAACAACAACACAAACTACTACTACTACTACTACTACTACTCTACTACTACTACTACTACTACTACTACTACTACTACTACTACTACCTACTACTACTATACTACTACATACATACTTACTACTACTACTACTAATAATAATAATAATAATAATAATAATAATAATAATAATAATAATAATCTGGAGATCTTGAGATTGAAATTAGGAGGATGTGGAATACAAAGACGAGAATTGTACCAGTGGTGGTTGGAGCCCTTGGCTCTCTAAAGAATGGTTTTGAGAAGAACCTTAAGGAACTCCCTGGCCAACACACTGCCCAAGAAGTGCAGAAAATCGCACTACTGGGAACAGCACACATCCTGCGAAAAATTCTGGATGAATCCCTATGTCCAGGTTGGGACACGGTCAACCAGAAGCCACCGGCTAATGCCGTGATCCACTTTGGAAATAATAATAATAATCATAATAATCATAATCATAATCATAATCATAATCATAATCATAATCATAATCATATCAGGAGTAAGATAATATAGAATCATATTATCTTACTCCTGATTATATTATAATTATAATTATAATAATATTATTATATATTGGGACACGGTCAACCAGAAGCCACGGCTAATGCCGTGATCCACTTTGGAAATAATAATAATAATAATAATAATAATAATAATAATAACAAATAATAATAATAATAATAATAATAATAATAATAATAATAATAATAATATCTGCACTGGTCAATCTGCAGTGAACTTGGTGAGCAAGTACCTGACAAGTGGTATGAACATACTCCGAGACCAGTTACAACAATCGGAGATACTACCATAATGTGGGATAGGCGGTGCAGACAGATCGCACGATACCTGCAAACCGCCCTGATATAGTGCTCCAACACAGGAGAGAAAAAACTATGCCTGTTGATTGACGTAGCCGTACCAGATGACTCTAAGGTCTCTAACATTTATGGTGAAGGAAAGGGACAAACTCACCAAGTACAAAATCTGGAGATTGAAATTAGGAGGATGTGGAATACAATGACGAAATTGTCCAGTGTGGTTGGAGCTTGGCTCTTACTCTTACTCTTGGCTCTTATCTCTAAAGAATGGTTTTGAGGAGAACCTTAAGGAACTCCCTGGCACAACCACTGCCAAGAAGTGCAGAAATCGCACTACTGGAACAGCACACATCCTGCGAAAAATTCTGGATTGAATCCCTATGCCCCAGGTTGGGACACGGTCAACCCAGAAGCCACCGGCTAATGCCGTGATCCACTTTGGAAATAATAATAATAATAATAATAATGAATAATAATAATAATAATTTACCGGCTAATGCCGTGATCCACTTGGAAATAATAATAATACTAGTCTACTACTACGTTTTCAATATTGTGCGACCGCTTAATTCACATTAATTAAGCTCGCTGTCAGTTAGATGAGGGTAGACTTAATCATTGCCAATATTTTACGTCGTATTGATTTTTACATCCCTAGATGAGCGGCTGCCGAATTTTTTTTCCCACTGAGTTCCGGACACAGCCAATCAGCGCACTCCATTCACTCGACTTCTCGAAGACAACAATGCTAAAATGAATACCAACGCGTTATCTATCTATTTCTATGATACCAATTATGCCTAACCCTAACCCTAACCATAACAGTATCCGAACCCTAACACTAACTCTAATCCAACCATATATTACAAAACACTATTTATGGTAGGTCCGAACTCAAGTGGGAAACAAATTTCGCCTAAATTTCGCCTCGCGTGTGACCGAGCCACGATATAGGTTCAAATCACAAATGTAGAGGGTAAGATCGAGTTTCAGCTAAACACCTTGATAGTCCACTACCCGCTTTCTACGGCGAATGATAAACGTGTTACAGCACCAAACAACCTAATTTTTTCTTTATCCTAGAGTATAGATCTACAAATATTGGTTTTAAATCCATCAAATCTGCAGGACAAAACTTTGAATTCCATTAATACAATTACTAAATTACGTACGCACCATTAAAAAGTTCAGCTATGCGTACAAGGCACACATGATTCAACAGTACACTCATTCATGACTAACTAGGCCTACATCACGGTGCACCTAGTCATTTTGATTCATGTGTTTATCTTAGATATTTTGCTTGTAGGCCCTATCTGTTGTTCTGTACTTTGGTTTGATTGGTTTTTATACATTCAATCATTACATGAATTGTAATATAGGCTATTTAAGTTATCTTGATTATCATGTAAATATTCATTACGTACTGTCTGTACATACTGCTTACTGTACTCTTGAAGATTGAAAATTGAAACAGTTTATTTGTGCATAGACATACATAAATACAGAGTACATCGTTATAAAAGAAAAATTACATGTAGAAGTACAATTTTAATCACGATTTAAGCACGGAGTGCGAAGGCACTTAAGTCATCATAGTCTGCCCCCCCAAGAGTAGATAAAGCGTAAGCAGCCGCTGAATAACATAACGGTAATGAAGAGCAGTAAAGCAAACAGTTTATAATCAAAGGAGAAAAAGTGTAGGAAACAAATATGTAATGAACAAAATATACATGAATATAGAATGCCGCAAGAAGATACTGTACACTTTAAGGATTATGCAAGATCATCAAGTAAAACATCAACAACTCACATAAATGATCAAATTAATAACAACAAAACGAACGAACAACAGGAACGAAGCAAGATGCGTAGGACAAAACAAACTAAAGACTTTTCAACTATATATATGTAAGCATAGCGAAATTATCACAGTAGATGCATTATTATTAATCCATAATAAAAGAATCATATACGTACAGGAAGGTTTGCGTACAAAAATACGTAGGTTAGTGAAAAAAACACGTGACAAAAAAATAAATAATTAATATAAAAATTATATACCAATATAAATAAACAAATCAGTGAAAATGATAACTT